GAGAGAGAGAGAGAGAGAGAGAGAGAGAGAGAGAGAGAGAGAGAGAGAGAGAGAGAGAGAATGCCTCAATGCATATGTGGAGGTCAGAAACCAACTTGCAGAAGTCCTTTCCTTTCACTATACAGGTGCTGAGGTTCAAGTTCAGGTTGTCAGGCTTGGTGACAAGCATCTCTATCCACTGAGCCATTTGCCAGCCCTATGAGGAACCTTTGTATTCCATCCTGTTACCTTCTAAAGTCTTAGAATGAATATCCCATTAATAAAGGCTGCATTTCCTTTTATTACTTTTACTGGCATAAGGGTGTGCTTTCTGCTACCTGTAATGGTGGTATGCTTATTCAAAATATTTGCTTAAGGAGGAGATAGATCATGCTTTTCTGGGTGTTAGTTTTGCAGTGACCTCTTTTGTCAATTTGTTAGTAAGTTAGTCATAATTCCGTATGTCACACCCTTACTGACACATTTTGTATAAAACGAATAAATTTATAGGATGGTCTATGTGATTTCTGTTCAAAGGCAGGTAGATGCTTTTCAAGAAGGTTTAATTAACTGGTTTTCTTTGACTGCTTCTTAGAATATTGGGTTGATTGGGGTTTGTATATTTATTGCCACATAGGTTGGGGCTCTACCTCAAAGTCCATTAGAAAAGCATTTGATAAATTTAAGAGATGGCAAGAAGCCAGCGTGCCTGGAATGTAATGGGCTAGTAGAAGGAGTAAGATGAGATGAGAGGAAACAGATTACAAAAAGCCTTTGGGCTGTAGTCCTTGGTGTGTGTGTGTGTGTGTGTGTGTGTGTGTGTGTGTGTGTGTGTGTGTGTACCTGTGTTCTCATGCATCTAGGTGCCCTTGTCCATTCTTGTGTGGTAGGGGTAGAGGCACACAAGTTTGATGTCTGGTGTTTCCTCAGTTGATCTCAACCATATTTTTTAGGACAGGACCTCTCATTGAACTAGACCTTTCTGTTTCAGCAAGACTGTCTGGCTAGTGAACCCCTGAACTCCAACCTGTCTCCTTGCTCTGACCCAGCTCTTTGGTTGCAGATGCATGCTGCCGAACCCAGGTTTTATTGGAGTGCTGGGTATCTGAACTCAATTTTCATGCTTGACTTTCACCAGGGAGCCACCTCCCTGGCCCCTACAGGTTGGAGTCTGGAGTCCAAGTTCTGTGGACAGCCGGGAGTGAGATATGGTCTGGGTCATGTCTTTAATAGATTGCTCATACTGTCATGGGGGAGACTCTTCATGCTGGTAAAAGGGGAATGAGGCAGCCTCTGGGAAGGAGAAGGTAGGGTGTTGGAAAGATGGTGGTGTCCCAGATTATGGCAGTACTTGCTGGAGATAGCAACAAGTGGTTTGATCTTTGGTGTGGTATAGATAGAGAGCCCACAGCATTACCGCTGGAGCTCAGTCCTCACAGGGCTGCAGTGTGGCTAGCCATAGCCCCCCAACAGCCAAGCTCCTCTCCTGGTGGGGCTTTACTGCAGACTTTCCTCATCCACTTTTGAGATGGAGCACCAGCTTGCCTGCCTAACTCATGATACCAAATTAGAGGAATAGTCTGTCTCTTGCAGTACAGACTTGTGACCGTGAACATTTGTAAAGAGCTGGTTTGTCCCACCAAAGTCCATGGTCACAGCCTTTTGCTTTGTAGTTCTCTCTAGCATGAACGGTTCTGTTCTCCTGGAAGTGGAAGTGTTTCCTGTGCTTCCGGCTCAGCTAGTGGGGTGATAGTTTTAATATCTCGCTGCAGTTCCTGTGTACACTGAGGTTGTATTTCTGGGATAAATGTCATTCAGATGAAAAGTGGACTAGAAACTTTTTGACCCACTTACAGCCTCAATTCTCCCGAGAAACTCTTTCAAACGGTCTTGGCTTTCTTGGTTGATCAAGAGACTAGAAATGGCTTGCATTCATTCGTGTCTTGTTCCCTCTCTCTCTGTTTTCTTTTTTAAACAGAGTTAAAAATAGAGATCTGTGATCTCATATAGAAAGTTTCTTTTATAATCTCCCTTAACACATCTGTGTTGTTCGCCATGGGGCATGAACTTTCAGCTCCTTGAAGACCGACACCTGACCCATTCTTTATCTGGCACTCACTCACATGCCTCTTCTCTTTTTACCCCTGCCCTGGTTGCTTAATTTGGCACTTTCCATGATCCTGGCTGTATTGAAGGGAAGGAATCCCCTTGTATCCCAGTCCTGACCGTGTCTGGACACGATGTCTAACAGCTCTCCTTCCTGTCCACACGTGATATGACGTCTTTACTTTGGTTATTTGGAGGGTGGTTGCCGGCTGGGATTCAGGTGATGTGCCTTTGAATTTTCTGACTCATTTTGTGCTCCTTTGTAACTGGCTTCTCTTGTGATCTTCCAGAATACCAGGCTGCTATCCTACATCTGAAGAGAGAGCACAAAGAAGAAATCGAAAACCTGCAGGTATATCTCTTTGATTCTACTGAACTGGCCTTCTGATGGTTATTTTTCTTGTGTGCTGAAGTAAATATTCCTCTCTTGTGGGGAGTATTCTCGGTAGCAGCTGCAGCTTCCAGCTGCCAGTGGGCACCAAGTGAAGTAAATATTCCTCTTAGTGGGGAGCATCTAACTAGATTTCATCTGCAGCTCACAGCTGCCAGTGGGCATCAACCTTATTCCAGGATGAAAGCCTGTGTTTAATAAACTCTGGTTTCTAACATTGAAAGAAATTACTCTAAATGCTTTTGGCTTTGGCAAAGAGTGATTCTGTATTTTTAGATCAGGAAAGAAGAGAGTATTGAGACTTTCACTGATCTCGGGAAGTATTTTAAAACTTGATGTTGCTGTACACCCTGGAGTTGATTTCTGTCCCACTCAGTCCTCTGTGTGCCCCTTAGCTCCTCCCTGGGGCATGATATCATTCAGATGAACAGTGTGCTGAGTCATCCTGTGTCCTCAGGGAGTGCTGACAGGTGCCAGTGGGTCCTCCTCTGTTTACCATCGAATTGTCAGTCTCTAGGTTTGTTGTTTGCTTACAGGGCATATGGCAGGAAGTTCAGAGTCTTAATTTCAAGCCGCTGGATGGTGAATCAGCCCTCAAGTCTAGGTTATCGTGGGTGGGGTAAGCCACATCCATTATTCAGGAATAGTGGCAATTTTTAAATGAAACTCCTACTCCCTTAAGTATGAACTCATTATTTGCCACTTTCATCAGTTTGTGGCTAAAATATCCTTCCTTTTAAATGTTATTGACAAGTAGAAATTATAATTTATAGTACCTGGCATGTTTGGAAATAGCGTGCATTCTGGAGTGAATAAATTGAATTTACTTATAAATGTGCTACTTCAATGAATTTGTGGATCAGATGTTCCTATTCATTTTATTTTTGTTGACAAAAAGGAATTGAATATAATTTATGGTTCACAACATGTTTTGGAATACCATACTTTGTTATGTGAGTGAACTTCATTTACAAATGTATTACCTCATATACTTACCTGATTTTTAGTAAGCAGACTCCAGTCTGTTAGCAGTGCTGAGGTCGGTAATTCATTGCTGCTAGAGTGTCCACTACAAGCAAACACTTCAACTTACTTCTCATCTCTAACTGAAATTTTATGTCCTTTGATCAACCTCTCCTCAGTTATTTCGCTACCTATCATCCCCAGCCCCTGAATCTACTTTCTTAAATCCAACCTATAAGTGAAATCACACAGTGTTTATCTTTCTGTGCCTGGTTTATTTTTCGTAACATCTTTCAGCTTCATCCATATTACTGAAAATGACAGGATTTTCTCTTTTTTTGCTGAATAATATTCCATTGTATTATGCATATTCTTTATCCTTCCCTTCTTTTGCAGACACGCAGATTGATTCTATGTCTTCCCTTTTGTGAACAATGTTGTAGGGAGCACAGGACAGCAGCTATAGCTTCCTTGTGAACATATATAGTAGCAGAGCTGCTCATTCATACGGTGGTTCAGTTTTTAATAATGTTACTAACTTACATTCCCATGAAAGGAGTTAATGGCTCCCTTACCATGTCCTGGCCAGCACTTGTTGCCCTCCATTTTTTTTTTAATTTATTTATTAATTATGTATACAGTGTTCACCCTACATGTATGCCTGCAGGCCAGAAGAGGGCACCAGAGCTCATTATAGATGGTTGTGAGCCACCATGTGGTTGCTGGGAATTGAACTCAGGACCTCTGGATGAACAGCCACTGCTCTTAACCTCTGAGCCATCTCTCCAGCACGCCCTCCATCTTTTTTAGTAATAGCCATTAGGACAAGTGAGAAAGGATACCCTACCATAGTTTTAATTTGCTTTTCCCTGATAATTAGTGATGCTGAGCATATTTGCATATCCCTGCTGGCCATTTTATGTGTACCTTTGAGAAATATTGATCCTTTCCTTCCTCATTTTAAAACCTCCTGGTTTTCCTGTTAGGAGGTTATCTGCATTCCTTGTATATTTTGTTGACTAACTACTTATCAGATATGCATAAATTCCTCCTTTCAATTTTCTTTAGTATGTTTTCAAATGCCATAGAAGGGTTAGCAAGGTAGCTCAGGGGTCACCAAGTAGTTACCTGGTTCAATCCTCAGGGCCCACATGGTAGAAAGAGAAATGGGACTCCTATGTGTTGTCCTCTGATCTTCACAGGCATGCCATAGCATGAGGACATGTGTGCATGTTTGTGTGCAACCCCACCCACCCACTCACAAATAGTATATGAATAAATAAATGTGAAGAAGGCAAGTAATTTAAAAAAAAAAAAAAAAGGTGAGACGCTGCGTTGGGTTTCACCTGAAGTCATTGCAAATAGCTAGTGTACAGATTCACATCACCCACATTCACACTGATATGCATGGTTTGGAAGAGGGAATGAGTTAATTTAACAAAGAAACAAAGTGGAAAAGTGCATCTCACGCCTAGGGGAAAGGGACAGATGGAGCCAATTTCCTTGTTTGTAAAATGATGTCACTTCCTTTTTCTCTGTAGTGGAATGAGGAAGGTCCCAAGTTGTCCAAGAGGATTTGAAGTTGCTGGTGGATAGTTAAAGCATGGTTAAGAGAATGGTCGGGACAGGAGTGCTTCCATAGACAGGGTTAGTAACAGTGAGGTGGTCAGAGTCTTTGGTTTTCCCGCTTGCAAATCAGCTCTGTGAGGAATGGGCCAATGAAATAATATTCACACTAGAGGGAAATGCTTAGCTTTGGAGTCTTTACTCCAGTGGGCACTGAGCTAAGCATATTACATGTAAATGATACTGCGAAAATCCTCTAATCCAATCTCTCAAATGAAGAAAAGCTTGCCGTATTAGTCAACATGCCCACACTGTAGCAAACACACACCATACGAGACTCAAAGCAGAAAAAGGTTTATTTTTGCTTCATGGTCTCAGTCCATGGTCAGTTGTCCTTGTTCCATTTGACTTATGTTAGGTGTGCATGGCAGAAAAGGCCTGTTGACTTCACTGAGTGTGTGAAGCGAAGAGAGAGACAGGAGGGACCAGGATCCCAATGTTCCTTTTAAAGACAACCCGCCCCCCACTGTCCTCACTTCCTTCCACTAGGTTCTCCTTCCTGAAGGTCCGGTCAGCCGCCTGTTGTCCTATGGGCTGGGGACCAAACTTTGAACATATGGGCTTTGAGGGAACATTGGACATCCAGACTAACAACAAGAGATGGGAAAGTGAAGAGGAAATGACAGGGAAAAAAATATAGTGTGATGCTGATTCCTGCTTTAAATATGAGTCGGATTATGATACGATTAGCATTATTGAACATTAACAAATTTTCATAATTATACTTTAGAGGTTTTGGAGAGTAGGTTTCTTAAACAATTACCCACTCTTTTGGTGCTATTGGTGAAGTTAAATTTTTTTAGACCCCAAATACATTGGTTATGCCAAGTTGCAGAACCCTGTGGCATGCTACGGCTGTGTGGGCAGCAAGCCCAGTTTCTATAGCTGAATAGTCTTGAAGCATACTGCAGTCACAGGCAGACAGCCAGCGGTCTGTGGTGTGCCCCCAAGAAACATTTTTGTTTCAAATATAGCACTTTAAAGATCTGAAATAGGAAGACACATTTTTAAATATAGAGATGTGTAAGAAATGGATTTCTAGCATTTTGTTTAAATACATTAGAAAATTTGGCTGTAATATTGTTCCATGTAACTTCCAGCTGCTTAACATAGTAGCTGGTGTCCACTTTATCTGTACTCCTCTGTCCACCACTGTCTGCCCTGGGTGGATCACCTGCTTGCCTCCTGTGTGCTTCAATTAGCTCCCATTTCTGAATGATAATGCAAACAAAATGAGATGAATAGTTCAGCAACAATTAGCAACCCATCAGAGTAGATACCGTTCATAACATATACAGACCAAAACCCAGTCTGGCTGTACTTGTGGATTCTCTCTGAATATCACCCCTACCTATGGCAAATCCCACCAGACTGGTGGTGTAAGGTAATGGCTGGGAGGCCTGATGCTTTGGTGCCCATATCTTTATGTGTGATGTCCCTGGAAGCCTTTAGTTGTGTTTTCTTTTTCATTGACAGGGCATGGAGAAGTCAGGTGCTTCAAGGCTTCCTAAGCCTGCCTTTCTGTACTGTTCTGGACCACAGAGTCCTCCAGCAATGGAAACTATGTAGAATGCTCTGGTGGGAGATTGGCCTTTGCAGACTGTCTCATGAAGGCCAACAGGTGGAGGAGCACAGAGCTTTTAGGCTCATTCATTCTCTTCATCTGACAGTTGTAGAGTAGCGTGAGAACCAGGCTTGATTCTCAGAGTAACTTTTCAAATGTGTACTCTCACACACATAAAGCTTTTTACTGATGTCTTGAATGAGTCAGATATTGCTGCCTTCTGCTTATCTGCTACTGTACAAATGCAAACATTTGGCTGACGTTTTAAATAACCAGGGAAGGAAGGTGTGGAAGCCCAGACATTTTCTATGATGTCGTTATTTCATGTAATTTATAATTTTACCATAGGAAAGTTCTTTCTTTTATCTCCCTCCCCAAAAACATGTGTTTCTTTTAGTGTACCCCATCTTGAAAGTTTGGTCACTTCGTAATACTCAATATTGTCTAGTTCAGGTTTTGATAATCGTATGGTTTTGGCTTTCTTTGGGGAAAGACCGAAACTTCCCTTTTATGTTTCCTTAGAGCTTCTTGCCTGAGAAGCTTCTTTGTAGGGTTTGTAGGAAGCACTGCTCAGCAAGTTCATGATCACTGGGTAGAAACAGTTTAGACCTTTTCAGGCATTTGATAAAACTCATTCCCTTCCAGTACAATAGTCATTTCTTTGAGGTTGCTTAGGACCTAGGATTTGAAAATCACCATCACAAACTCCTTCCTATGGTAGTGTGAGAGAACTCGGTTCTCTTTGGCATTGGGGCTCCAGTTTCTTGCACAATGACCATATGAAATAGGGAACTTCTCTGAGACTTAG